GCACTTGCAGCTATCTCAGAGAGCTCCACCTGGAACCGCCTCAGCCCCGGCTCTCCCAGGGCCTGACTCCGTGCCAGAAGTGTGTACGTGACCCTGATGTTCCTGCCTGCGTTTAACTAGCAGCATTTACAAACACGCCATACAGGAAAACGAGGGGAACATGAAAATGGGCTCAGGAGTTTCATTTGCATCAGCTGTGTCTGTTTGCTCTCCCTTCAGAGAGGCACTGGGATCTGAGCACACTGCACTCCTGCACCGCTCGGTGCAGCCCCGTGCGGGCAGCCCATGGCACCAGTGCACTGTGGAGCTGCTGTGCCTTCAGCCTGTGCAATGAGCTCATTAAATGTTAAACCAGGGATTTTGCATGTGTTTTACAGTCAAAACGGAGCTCTGTGCTGTCATGGTTGGTGCATTCTCTCCACTAGCTGCCATTTTGTTGGATGCTTTTGTTGTGATTAAGCCCTCCTGTCCATTTCAGCATCAGTCTTCCCTAGCCCTGGCGGTCCTAACCCTAAAGTGGCATTAGCATTACTGCTGTTCCCCCACTGGCCCCAGGGTCTACTCCCAAGCACACCTCACAGACAAACAGGCCAGCTGGAGGGCTCCGCACTGCAGCAGCCCCAGGGCAGGTCAGAGGATGGCTGAATGGCAGATGGTTGGCCAACCCCAGGAGGCAGAATTCAGAGCCAGCTGCCCACAGACGTGACACACATTTTACTAGACTGCAGGCATGCTGACCAAAAGCATTTACATACACAAATCAAATCATCATCTTGGTTTGTGCTGCTGTTGGTTGCCTGTAAAAGCCATTTATCTATATGGCTAAGCAGAAATGCAGGACCCTTGCACAGCAGCTTATGCTTCAGTTTTGCTCCAGTGTCTCCATGAAGTTGTTCCCAGAATCTGGAGACACTGACTCAAGGACTTTTGTGTAATACATCTGATCTGCACTCACTTCAACACAGAGCTTTTCTTCATCCTCCTGTAGCAGGAGTACATGTGTGATCAAACCCACCAAGAAAAATCACTTATGGATGTAACTGTTGCAGAACTGGGCTTGTGCTCTTACTGTCTCAGTTTAGTTAGGTTAAGCTGGCTGCTGAAATTGCAGCTGCTTGTTCTAACCTGCCACTAGCAAGATCCAGTCTTCACTGCTGCTCCCTGTCCCATGGCCTGCCCCTCTCCTTGAGAGCTGTAGCATGTGAGCTCTGCTCTTTTTGCTGATACTCTGCTTGCTCAGTGTCCTCGCTTCACCTTTCTCATGTAAGAAAACAGCACAGCCCTTGCCAGGTCTCTCCCTGCAGCCATCTGATACATGCAGAAAGAGCAATGCTGTGCTTCCATTTTGTGCAAGAAAGCAACTATCTTGTGGGCTCAGGGGATGCTGGGATCCCAAACACTGTTTGCAATGTTCTCCTTGGTGTCTGCAAAGGTATACATACTCCTATGAAGAGGGTGAGTCCCTCAATACACTCAGCTTTCCAGATGAATTTCATAATTGGAAAGTGTCACCCAAGCTACACGGGCTCAGTGGTGTTATAGCAATTATAATCTGTGTTCAGAAGAAAGTGAGAGTATAATGACTAATTGCTAATGTATGTCCCTTATCATGCATCGCAAATATGCTCCTTATTCTAGAACTTCAAAGCTGTGCTTGTTCTTTAAATGTACAGGAGAAGAGGAAAAATTCATCTGTGTAAGTTACTTAGTAATTAATTAGTTGTATTGTACTGGGCATAAAGGGATTTTGCCAATAAAATACCAACTTACATATTTGTGCTCCTGTCTGAGTAGAGAGCGCAATGGCTTACAGTTAGATGGAAGAACACTTTTTAAAAATGTATTCTGAATACTTCGGCACAGATTTCTGGCATAGCTGAGGTTTCTTGTGGCCTAAACACAGAGCAAACAATATGTGCCTGAGCAAACAATGCTCTTTTACTGAAGTCACAACTCCATACAAGGAGAAACTTGGAATAATATGGTCTTGCTTGGCTAGTCTGCAAGCAATGTGCAAGGCTTTGCTGCTAAACAAATCACTAGGGGTGGTGGGAAACGTCTGCAGTTTGTGCAGTGGAACTGACAGTCTTGCCAAGCAGACAGCCCCAAATGATCCATTATTTTTGTGCCCCAGCTGAAAGTACTTATGTAAAGGAACTACTACCTGTTTCCCTCAGGGGCAGCTAAATCATAGCTGTGTGCTGGAGAGAATTTCTATACATAAACATTTAAGCGCTATGATTTATTACCTGTAGATAGCTCCAGCATGTTAATGTCCATTTACCTTTCATATTCTTGGAAGAGAACTATTCTGGGTACTAAAGCACAACGGAGTTTATGCAGCCAGACAGATTGATCTACTCAAGGCCAACACTTTGTGGTATCTAGGCCTGTTGCGGTCTAGCAGCGTGTCCTGGCACATGGCACTGAGCCTGGAGGCAAGGGTGTTGGATACCTCGAGGAAAGCAGAGGCAGGTCTCTCCCACAGTGGTGACAACTGGTCAAAAAACTCAGTGCTGAGCTGTCAGAATGCATCCTCTAGAATGATTTTGCTTCTCCTTTTCCCTTCCCTCTGAGAAGCAGCGATCAGAGATCTCTTAACAATATACTATTTTGTAGTTAGGTACAAAACAAATAATCTCCTTCAAGGCTGATGGTAAGATATCAAGCAAAACATTCAACAGAAAGAACTGAAAAAAGACAGACAGATGGAAAAAATTTAAGAAAGTCAACTACTATTGACAAAAAACCCTTTCAGGTGAAAATGAGAGGTGCTACATCCTGCATTTCCATAAGGGAGACAATGATATTGCAAACAATATTGCAAATCAATATAACATTGCAAAAAAGTATATTCTCGAATTTGTTGCTTGCATGATCAGACTAATGGTGAATCCTAGTCAGTCATCTTGTGTTACTGCTGTGACAATACTAGTTTTGTGTGCTACTGCTGTATATGTTTCTGAAGCTAAGATATACCAAGAATTCCAAAGATCAATGATCAATGTTTTAGCAACACAACTTGGTGCCCAGTTGTTTGCATTCAGACTTTCTGTCATTATAGAAACAACTTTGTGAGAGGTCTGGGAATAAGGGGAAAGATGAGATACCTGTAATTCTCCATCTTCAACTCAGAAAATATCCCACATTCTCCAGAGAGAACAATGAGGGAACAGTGGTTTTTTTTCCAAGCGGCAGCATGCAGTTCCCTTTTACACCTACTATCCAAAAGGATAAAATGAGGAAACTATGCATTGCTTTTCAAAGCATCTTCTAGAGGGCTTGTGAGACAGTTAGAACAAGAGGCCAACTCATTTTCAAGAGACTGCTGACTTCTGGTGTAGAGACTTCAAGGTGCCTGCCTAGAATTCAGCTTATCAGAATCACGGCATCCTCTCCCCCCTGCTACCTAACTTCCACCCTGCCTATAGCAATGCTATCCCAAAACAGTGAATCTGATTTCACAGAACAGCTCAGAATCCAGGTAAGAGTGCCCCTACAAGGGTCGAGTAAAGCATTTAAGTATCCTTTGTGGATTAAGTTTTGATGCTTTAGATTCTTCAGAAACTGTCAATATTGCTGTGATTCAGTTGTGTCAGATGTACAAGTGTTCGAACAGCAGTGCAGTCAAACTCCTACTGTTTGCCAAAGACAAACTTTAAATACACAGCCTTCCTCATTTAAGATGCCTTTCACTGGAATCAACATTTCCTTCCACCTCAGAACTAATAATCAGCACAGACTACAAGAGCAGCACTAATTTATGATTTCCTTTTACAGAACTGAGATAAGGCACAGATAACAACTGCGGAATTCAGTACGGACAAAGCTAGGACTTCAGAAATTTAAAATGTGTTTATCATCAGATTACCCAACCTCATGTTTCAGGAAGATTGAATGATGGGAGAATAATCCAAGGTAATGTTTGGCTCAGCAGGTTTCTTAATGACTTGGAGGAGAATTGCGGTAATGTTGCATGAAAAGTTGGATTTTTTTCTGGTCTCCAAGCATTTTACCATTCCAGCAGACAGTAGTTGCTTTTAAAAACTGCAGTTCTCTTACTGGTACTGAAGCAGACTCAAACTCTTAATTGCCCAGCCACAGCTTTTCACAGCCATCTTCCTACAAGCTCATTTTCTCTCAGGTGCCAAGACTGGGACCTACTCTTCTAACAGTGAGTTAATCTGTTTGGAGTTGTGAATCAAACTGCTCACTACCCAAGGGAATCACACTTCTCCATCACTCTCAGCCACACACTGATTGCCTTGGCTGCTGTCTGGCATGTGGCCTTGGCAAAACAAGCAGTGGCTACCACTCGCAGCATAGAAGGCATTGAGAAGGCTTTAAGAGAGAAGAAAATTGGTACACTGCTAGATGTCAAGGACATGCAGTGGGAAAAGATGTGGGGAAGAGAGAGTTACAGCAATCAGCTTAATTTTATCATACACATGGGGAAAGTGGAGAATGTAATAGTTACCATCCAAATTCTTTCTTGCAGAATGCACTTCCTTCCTGCCTGATGAATTCAGCAATGGCAACTTAAGCCAGATGTGACCTTAACTTTTCAGCTTGACTCAGTAATGAAGAATTGCAATGAACAGCACTAGCAGCAGAATAAATATACAGATTTCTCAGTCTTAGGCACTGACAGTGAGATGTTCCAGACCTGCAACTCACACTGTGGTATATAGCTATGCTAAGCATTCACTGAAAAACTGTAAGTGCTGTTCCCTATTTCAACAAATAGCATTTCATGGCCTTACCCCAAGACTCACTGTGCTGAGATGTTTTACAGTTCATTCCCAACCTGCTGCACAGTCTGTGCTTTAGAAATACTCATAGAAAGTGCATTCAAGGGAAACCAGAATTTGAATGGTTTTTGTGTGCTTCCTCACAGCAAAATAACCATGCTGCAAATTATGTTAAGTACACAGCTCCAAATGACAGCTGATTTTAAAGCACTTTCATAGGTGTGTTGAAGCTGGAGATGTAGGTAACATACTCAGTACAAGGTTCAATTTGTAAAGAAAAGAAATCAATAGCCTTCCCTTATGAGAAGAAGGAAATGACAGATCAGTGGGAACCACTCACAACTTTTGTTGATGGTGGTCAACCGTCGAGCCATGACTTATAGAAGGCTGCCTTCCTCAATGCTGGGCACTGATCCTGGATGCAGTAGGCTCAAGGACTGTAGCTGTAGGCACACCTTATCTGTGATGAAGCGTCTTTCTATTATCAGTCTTTTTTTTTTTTTTTTAATTAAATAAAGCAATGACTTCAGCAATGACAGCCCAGGAAAGAGAAGTCATTTTTTTCACTAGTTGCTTCTCTGTTCATTGTACTCTTGATGATTTATCTAATATAGTCCACCAGTAGTCCAAGTGGTACTGAAATGTTTGTGACATTTCTTTCTTCAGGAAAGTATTTTGTTTATAGGATTTTACTAGGTACAATGTCCAACTCTCTGGAGATGTTTATTTGTTCAGACTGTTTCTCGTATAATGTATGATTACCCAATCAAATTCATCATAATCAAACTTCTCATTTGTTATTTCTTGCAAATTTAAGAGAAAAGCATCTCTTCCACAAGTGTTCTACATTCTTCTTCTGTTTAGAAATGTCAGGATGTAAACACAAAACAAAGTAATAGCTTGTTTCCATTTTTGCTTTGCAGAGTGCACTGAACAAGTGGCTTCTTACATACTGGCTGTGGGGAAAAAAATGTTGCAAGTAATTAAAATGCCAATTTTATTATTTTCAGACTTCTCACATACAGAACATTCCTCAACATTAGCAAACTAACATCCATGTATTGAAAAAGTGAAAGGTCCTTCTAAGAATCTGGAAAAGCCTTGAGGAATTTTCTCCATCTCTCTAGGACTAAAAATGCCAATGTTTCTTTGAAATATTACTTAAACTAATGTTCCCCCTAAAAAGCTTTCCACTTGCCAATTTTTTTTCCTGTTCCTCAAAAATCAAAACCTTGTTTTGAAAGAAATATGAAAGGACTCAAAGAGATTGCATTGAGCCAAAAGTCCTCCTTTCTCCATCCTCGCTCTACTCATCTGGAAAGCATCTGGCAAACAAATCCATTGATAGCTTAGAAAAGCCTTTATCTATTCTCACAGGCTTAAGAAGAGTGGATAACATACACATTGCATGGATTCATTGTACATCTCCTTTATGTTATTTCAATTTTGAAAACATAAAAGAGTACAGCAGAACATCTATCATGCTCCCAGAGAAAGGATGTTCCTGGTAAGGCTGCATCAAACCCTAGTTCATAAAACAGTCAGCAATTGTTGCTCAGCACCATCCACAAAGGCATACCTGTGTATGGAGCTCACCTGAGTCCAGCTGGGTTTATTGCTCATTTTGGTCATGCTGAATCAGCTACATTCATAACCTCAGCCTCAGTTTGCTGCCTCACACCACATTTCCCTGGTCTTTGAGATGCTTAAGTGGCTGCACTGCTGCTGAACACAGAGGAAAGGAGCAGAACTGGCTCCAGGCAGATTCTGTGAGCATTTGCTGGGCACTCCCTTGATCTACACTCCATAGTTTTCACATACTTGTGTTGCTAATGCTGCAAATAAAAAGCAGTGGACTTTGGTTCTCGTTAGAGTGCTGCTACATTCAGATGTAGAGGAGGACTGTGTACTAAACACAGAAGAAAAGTTTGTATAGTTCCCTTAGATGATGCTGAATATTCACCATACATGGCAGTTTGCAGATGAGAGCAGATAAAAGGCATGAGATCCCTTCATAAGCACGACAAGTAGCATTTTCTGTTAAAACTATACAAAATACACACATGCTGTATTTGGACATTAAACTGGCAGATCGGGAGTGGCGTGCAAATACATGTCAGTCCTCCCAGACACGATTCATTCCGTACGATACAAAATCAGATCCTTGATCCTCACTTTCTCCTAGATTGTCAAAACTGAAGTTTATATAGCTGAAAAACTTATGGCATGTCAGCATTTGGAGCTGCCCCTCAGTCCATTAAATCACAGTACAAACCGTCTGTTGCCCCCAAAGGTTAAGTGACAGTTCTTGTCTCACAGATACTATAGTTGAGACAGGTTTTCACCACTGGTATCCATGGAAAGGAAGTTTAAATTCAGAAATGGACCCAAGGCTCTGGCTGCTAGGATTCAGCATTTACATCTGGGCCCTTATTAGAGCACTGGCTACTAACACAAATAGTTTCTGCTTCAATTGGTTTCTGGAATACCTTTCCAAGCTCCAAACTAGACACTTCAGGTTGTCAATAATGTTTTGTTCATTGCCCACTACTAGAATAATTTTCTTCAGGTAACTATATAAAAGTTTTTTCATCCTTTATAACCCAACTGCAGTAGTAATACCAGGAAGTAAATTTCTTTCCTAACAAAGAATATAGCCAGTTAACCAGTTCCATTCTCTCAGACGACCCCTTACCACTGCAGGTTATTTATTTAGTTATTTTTAAAGACTGTTTTCAAGCTATTTAATTTTACTGATGAGAGTATAATACAGGCACATCAAAATCATAGACACACACAGCTCGTTAGTGAAACTAACCCAGGTAATGCAAGACAAACAGATCCTGCCCCCATACCATAAGTCAGATCATACTCTCCCCATGTGGAAGTACAAAGCATACATTTCTCTTCTGCAGCATAGACATGAAGCATGTAAGATGGTCAGAGGCTGCTCTGCCTTCCCTGTATGTCTGTGTAAACTCCATGATTGCATTAATCAAATCAGCACTATGTTATATTGAATATTCATCGCTGAATAAAGGCAAATATTTATGCAACAGGGTTTAAATGGGAAATATTCAGGATGATTTTCTGCTAGGAAAACATTCATTTTCAAATAATTGATCATTGTAAAGGTAAAACTGGAAGCTGGCTGTTAGAATTTGTTCAGCAGACCTTGGGGCAGCTAATTCCTCTCTGTACTTACAGAAACCTTCCGGAATCAAATTCCCCTCTCAGTGAAAACCTTAAACCAGCATTAAATGTCTAATTAGTATCCTGTGTAGAATAAGCTTCCAATTTTCTGTTTATACATTTCTTAGTATTTAGCTTCTTACAGTGATAAATACAAGTCCTCTAATGCCATTTTTCACACAAAGCCACCACAGCATTGCTTTCTCACTCCTCCTGCAAATATGTAGGATGTACATGCAAGATCACAACCTGTTTTTTGTGTGTGTTCTGTGTTCTTCTCAAACACACTGTATGAACCATTGCAGTGTATTCTTTGGCACATGCAGAGTCTCAGAAGTTATTTTAAATCTGTAAAAGAAGTTAAAACAAGTTTGCAAATGATTCAGACTTTGTGGAGAGCTCTTGGGAATGCTTTCTTGGCTGTCTTGCAGTTCAGAACTGGGAAGGGAAATGAGAGGAAAGGATAGCATTATTTGCAGGTGGTTTCAAGATTTTAACAGTATCAAAGTCATTTTACAGGCCTTTGTGCTTGTCCTTAAGATTTTACATGTCCTGGAAACTTACATAGCTTTGCCTCACACCATGCAGCATCAAAAGAAATGAGTGGCACATTACCAAGTAGAAGAAGTCTCCTACATTGTATGAGCCACTAAGTTTCCAGGATGATACTTTCAGCAGGAAAGCAAAAGAGAAGATTTCATTTGTCTGCATTTCAACTTCTGATTTATAACGAGGGCTAAAATTTGTTTTGAAGGGTCTTCCTGGGAATGCAGCGCAGATCTGTGGAAGCTGCATGCTACTGATATTACATTGTGTTTGGCAGCCCTCACTGCCTTGCCACATAGTCTTCCCAGCTGCGATTACATTTTAGTCATTGCTCTGAACTTCTTTTAGAGAACCATCAGACCTCGAGGCTGCTGACGTTAACAGCTACCAACAGTTATACAGAAAAACAATTACAAATAAAGTTTCCTTTTCCTGAATGGATGACTCTTCTCTTCCTACAGACAGCTGCTATTTGAGATTGAGCAAGTTACCATTCTAACACCATGCTAATAATTGTGGCTTTTTAATCAACTGTCACACACCAGGGAGAAGACTCACTGCCTCTCCAATGATCTGGTTTACACACAGAGGAGTGCAGCAGGTTTTCTGCCATGCTCTTTTGCTTTTCTGATTTCCTTCCACTTGACTTATCTTCCCATCTTTGCATTCAATTATTTTTAGAGTCTAACTTGAAATGGACAAAACAAATACTACCAGATTACTTTTCCATGGTGAGATTTGGATCCTTTTTCAGGATAAACAGACAAAATCTTGGTGACAGAGTTTCTATTGATGCACAGAGAAATTCCAAGAGCTGCTTGTCATCTGTTGGCTGGGCAAGAAGAAACAAATCCCAGACATTCAAAAAAAGTCCTCTTTCAGTTGGATAAAAGCAAGATTTATAGACTTTGGGCTGAGCTAAGATACAATGGGCTATTACATTTGCTTGTTTTCACTCGTTCTTTATTACTATATATCTTTTTAAATAAAAAATATTATAGCATTCCAGTTCTCTCATGAAGCATTGTTGAATTTCAAAACAATGAACATCACAGCATTAGAAAACAACAAGTGATTCTGTGCCAAAAGTTAGGCAGAAACTTAAACTGGATGTCAGTATTATAGTTGAGTATCAGAGAACTCAAAATTGAGGTTGTTTCACAGCTCCCAGGAGAACATCACAACACATCTGCAACCTGCTCAGTTAGTGAGAAGTGTAGCCATAAGACTAACTCTGTCACCAAAGCAGCAGGTGCAATTCAGGTTGATAAAGTCCAAGCTTTAATAACAAAAAAAGGAGAGCCAAGCTACATTTTTATGATACTGAATGTTCTGAAGTGACTTGCTCAGACTAAGTGCTGGCTCATTACATCTGTATGTGATAACATCCCAGGAGGGTTTTGACCATCTTTTCCCTTTGCAGCTCACAGTTCACTTGAAGCAAGTTCCAACTATAAAATGTATTAGAATTTTCCTAGCACGATGTGTCATTTTGTGAATTCAGAATACAACCAAATATTAGAAGAATTATAGAGTTTACTGTACAGATCATGGATTCATGGCTTTACCAGTCTACTGCTAGACTGAGCAAATGGAAAAATTAAACCAGATTTTGCTGTTTAATGCTGGTTACAAACCTGTCAGGTCTGAGCAACTAGGTCAAGACATTGTCACTGAACAGAGCACAGTCTGTACTTGTTTGTAGCACTGTCCCCTCTCTCAGATGTCATTGCTGCCTCTCTGACATGTGACACTGGGTATCTGCGCCCCCTGCATGTTATCCTGGAGAAACAGCTGTGAGACTGGATCTAGATATATTTCAAGTGGAATTTGCTTTGCTAATACATACAGCCCTAAAGTGAGATATCCAATTCATCAAAGCATTACTATGGATGTTCCCTAGGCTTTACTGACAACAACTCTTATTTACCAACCTCATGACTAATCCATGCCCTCATACTATTTAAGGTCTTCTTGTGTCTTCTGGACCTCAAACCTTACACATCTTGGCATGCCTCAATTAACCCTTTCTCAAGCAGCATGCTGTACATTTCTCAACCACCCACTACAAGTCAATTCACTCTTACCATATCCCTATTGACAAAAGCTGTTCATAAGCTGACTGTTACTAGATATGCAATGGTTAGGTAAGAAACATAGTAAACGTGCAGAATTTTAAGGATATGACTCACGATGAAGCAGTGAGTCAGTAAATACC